GTGTGTGTGTGTGTGTGTGTGTGTGTGTGTGTGTGTGTGTGTGTGTGTGTGTGTGTGTGTCTGTTTTCCAGCATAATTCTGGAACGCCTTGAGCAATTTCAACCCAACTTGGTACACAGATGACTTACTCTCTGGAAACAAATATTGTGGGAGTAAGACAACCCAACACCTCTCAGGGTGCATGGTCTGTTAAGATACAGCCAGTTGTGCCTTAAAATGAATTCTACTGTACTGCCGTAAAATGGCTTCTACTGTGTAGCGCTGTGGAGCTGCCATGGTAACAGCTTCACAGTACTCAAGGGGGCTCCCTCTGGTAAGAGGGAAAATCCAACATTAGAAATTGCGACAACGTCCATGGAAGAAGGATTGGGATAAATAAATACCCGGGCAGCGCCAGGTTATCAGCTACTAATGAAGTGTTTCCTTTTTACAGAAGATACTCAAAAGGTTCCCAAAAGGATGTTAAATCTTCACTATCAGATAAACACGGTTCTTGCTCAATTCTTTTTATAAGGCAGGGTCTGCCATCAATAACATCTCATCCAAATGCAAAAATGCACTTTTGTTTGCTTTTTTATGTCCCAGCAAGAGATAGTTGAAAATCAGTTTTCAAAGGAGTTTGTGCTAAGTGGAATTTCACACACACACACACACACACACACACGCACACACACACACTATCTGGATTTGCACCTTTGCCTCAAAAAAATAATTCAAATCACTGACTGCCTTTTATCAGGACTTTCTGGATGCTCTTGAAAAGGCACTTGCAATTGGGAAGGGGAAAAATTCCCACCTGGTCAAACTTCTCCTCCATTAACTCTCGGCAGCATCGGCTCTCCACCAAGGTTGACTTGGCTGGGACGGGTAACGTCCCAAATCCCAGGATTCCTGGGTGGGGGCTGTAGCCCAGAAGTCCGATCAAGGCGTTGCACTGTTGGGGCTGCACCGACTGGAAGCTGGAGAAAGGGGTGACGTGGCGGGGCTTAGTGCCGAAGCCCAAAAGATCCTTGCAGTATTTGTCATGCACCAGCTGCTGCTGGGTGATTTCTTCCATCTCTTCCCTGAGGCGCTGAATGGAGAAACAGAGGGTTAAGATGGGGGCGGGGAGGGGCAGGACGAGCAGTAGGGTAGGCTGCTGCCTCAGGATTGGAAATAGAGAAGCGCAGCCTTGTGGAATCAAAGCAACTGCTTATTACATCCACTTGTAGCCTTTAATGGCAGCAGCTGTTCAATTGTTCCAATTCTGTCGGGCAACAATTTATTTTACCATATAGAAACAATGATGGCATAGAACAGGGGTCAGCAACCGGCGGCTTTCTGGAGCCGCATGTGGCTCTGGAGCCGCAGGTGGCTCTTTCATCCCTCTGCTGCGACTCCCTGTTATTGGTCGGCTCCACAATTGATAGGACTTTCGGTTAGGACAGGTAGAGGAAAAAGGGATGCTGCTCTAGGGGAGACTCTGTGGTGGGGCAACTGGACTTCCGGTCTGCAGAGGAAAAAGGACGCCGTGCTAGGAGGAGACTCTATGGTTGGAGGGGAGGGGGAACCAGACTTCCAGTCGGCTCCAGAATTGAATGTGGGGCTACCGGTTAGGACCTTTGTGGCTCATTTGAGTGTTTAAGGTTGCCGACCCCTGGCATAGAAGCACATATCTAATCACGTATCTTGGCTCATGGGGTTCTACTCTGAGCAACTAAGTCTAGCTGGTCACGTTCACATGGCTGTCCAAGTCAGTATTTATTTCAAGGTTTTTAATCCACGCTGAAAGACAGGAATGTCTTACAACGAAATGCCCCCCCCCCCCGCCTCTTCAAATGAAGGACTCACCTCTCCTTCCATGCTGCTAATCCGCACCAGTTCATTGAGGATCAGTAAGGCACCATGAATTCGGTCGTCTCGGTTCACCCCCTTTTCTTTCGCCACAGACTCGTCAAAGCCCTTCTCAGCTTCCTCATAGGTTTGCTGAAACCACATGGACTATTGCTTAGAATTGAATATTGGCTTCTCAAAACAGTTGTGCTTGACGGGATCAATAATACAATAGCAGAGTTGGAAGGGACCTTGGAGGTCTTCTAGTCCAACCCCCTGCCTAGGCAGGAAACCCTATACCGTTTCAGACAAATGGCTCTCCAACATCTTCTTAAAGACTTCCAGTGTTGGGGCATTCACAACTTCTGGGGGCAAACTGTTCCACTGGTTAATTGTTCTCACTGTCAGAGAATTTCTCCTTAGTTCTAAGTTGCTTCTCTCCTTGATTAGTTTCCAACCATTGCTTCTTGTACTACCCACAGGTGCCCTGGAGAATAGTTTGACTCCCTCTTATTTGTGGCAACCCCTGAGTTATTGGAAGACTGCTATCATGTCTCCCCTAGTCCTTCTTTTCATTCAACTAGACATACCCAGTTCCTGCAACCGTTCTTCATATGTTTTAGCCTCCAGTCCCCTAATCATCTTTGTTGCTTTTCTCTGCACTCTTTCTAGAGTCTCCACATCTTTTGTACATCGTGGCGACCAAAATTGAATGCAGTATTCCAAGTGTGGCCTTACCAAGGCCATATAAAGTGGTACTAACACTTCACGTGATCTTGATTCTATCCCTCTGTTTATGCAGCCTAGAACTGGGTTGGCTTATTTGGCAGCTGCTGCACACGGCTGGCTCCTATTTAAACGGTTGTCCACTAGGACTCCAAGATCACTAGGACTCCAGGATCTATGATCATCCCACATATCCCGCCTCAAAATCAGATTCTAATCCTTCCCACAACTGCAACCTGACCTAATGGGTTTACGGCTTCGGAAAGAAAACCCCTTCCTTACTCGGTACCACTGCGGCTTCTGCATCTCTTTGAACTCGCGTTGAGTGGTCAAGATAAGGCAAGCGCGTAAAGCCGAAACGGCTCCTTCCCGGATGGCCTGCTTCGGATCCCACACAGCGACAAAGATGTTGTCGAAAAATGGCTGAACTTGCTGGAAGAAGAACGTGGGGACACTGATGGCCAACTCTCGCAAAACCAAGACCTGGGTAAAAAAAAAAAGAGAGAGAGATTGCCAATCACAGCAGCTTTATACGTCAGTATTACACCTTAGTTACATATAAAAGCATTAACTTTGAATCAAAAGGGATTTTTGGCCCATCTGTTTAAAAAATCATCCATTTGTGACTTCACGATGGATGTGGGAGGAATTAATAGGAATAAAGTCAGTGTATTTCTCAGAAATAAGCACCGAGGGCCAGAATCTCATAGGCAGCTTGAAGCGTAGCTGTTCTTACCGCTGCATGTCTCCGTCCTTCGTTCCTGTCTGCGCCCAGCCACTCCAGAGCCCGCTTCACTTCAAATTCCACATATTCTGCAGTGAAGGTATCGCCGGCCATAGCGAGACGCCCAATGGCTTTGGAGGCCATCTCCATGACAACGGGGTCATTGGATGGAAGGAGGTTCCTTAGGTAGTTGGCGAACCTGCCAATGCGTGTGGCATTGCCTCCCTCAACACCAATCAGACTTGCTGAGGAAGAGAAAACACCAGCAAATACTTAAAAGTGTCAGAGCTGCTAAAGGACTTATAGGGGTAATTCACTTACAATCACAATGGAGCCCAGAATTAATGTTGCTAAGCGAGAAATTTGTTAACTGAGCTTTGTCCCATTTTACAAGTTTTCTTGCCGCCTTTGTTAAGTGAACTACAGCAGTTGTTCAATTAGTAACACGGTTGTTAAGTGAATCTGTTTTCCCCATTGTTTGCCAGAAGGTCGCAAAAGATGGTCACATGACCCCAGGACACTACAACTGTCATAAATATGAACCCATTGTCAAGCATTCGAAAGTAAATCAAGTGACCACGGGGGTCATAAGTGCGAATAATGGTCCTGACACTTTTTTCAATGCAGTTGTAACTTTGAACAGTCATGAACTGTTGTAAGTTGAGGACTATCTGTAATCCTGCTACTTTTATTTTCTCATCAGCTCTAGGAAATTGGAAAGAAGTGAAATGAATTGTCTAACTTAGAAAATGAGGTGCTTCTTTACTGGCACCTGGAACAGTGAATAGCCACCTGTGCATGGCAACATTTTGGAGACACATCACAAACAAGTGGCATCGATCTCTACGCCAATATTATTTAGGCAATCTATCTGGCTACTCACCTATAGCCAAAATGCCTCCTTTCCTTTCATTTGCATCTGAACTGGAAACCAACTCGAAGATGTGATGATTCAGTTGATCGTAAAAACGGGTGGATTCTTCTTGACTCATCTGTGCAGGAGGGGGAAAAGGTGGGTGTGAATTAAACCTTTTATCCAACCTTAACGGAAAAGGATGAAACAGAACATGTAAAAAATATGTCTAATCTTAACTCAAAGAGGGGGAGGGGGGAAAGGTTCTTGTTTGCTTCCATTGAAGAAAGCAAAGTTCTGAGCAGAAACTGAACTTCAAGGTCCAGGCGCAGATCAAGTCCCCATCCCATAGTCACACCATGAAGGGTCTAATAAAGAATATTTGTAGCTCAGCGTTGACATGAGGTACATTCTGAGCCTGGTGCTTTTCTTGTAGATGTTTTCATTACCCAAACAAGGTAACATCATCAGTGCTAGTATCAAAGGAAGGAAGGAAGGAAGGAAGGAAGGAAGGAAGGAAGGAAGGAAGGAAGGAAGGAGGAAGGAAGGAAGGAAGGAAGGGTTATAGCTCAGTGTTGACATGAGGAGTTTTGGTGCTCTCTGAGCTTGCTTGTTTTCTTGCAGACGTTTCATGACCCTAACTAGGTAACATCATCAGTGCTGGAAGGAAGGAAGGAAGGAAGGAAGGAAGGAAGGAAGGAAGGAAGGAAGGAAGGAAGGAAGGA